CTATACCATTTCGGACAAATGGCTGTCCAGTCTCTTCTTAAAAACTTCCAGTGTTGGAGCATTCACCGCTTCTGGAGGCAGGTTGTTCCACTGGTTAATTGTTCTAACTGTCAGGAAGTTTCTCCTTAGTTCTAGGTTGCTTCTCTCCTTGATTAGTTTCCACCCGTTGCTTCTTGTCCTGCCTTCAGGTGCTTTGGAGCATAGCTTGACTCCCTCTTCTTTGGGGCAGCCCCTGAGATACTGGAAGACTGCTATCATGTCCCCCCTCGTCCTTCTCTTCATTAAACTAAATAAAATCCCAAACCCCCTGCAACATCTTCTGTGTTCTGCTTGGTCTGAATCCTTTTGCACTCAATTATAGAGCAAATAAGAGGATTAAAGGCCTGGAGACTAAAACATGTGAAGAACGGTTGCAGGAATTGGGTACGGCTAGTCTAGTGAAAAGGAGGACCAGGGGCAACAGGATAGCAGTGTTCCAATATCTCAGGGGCTGCCCCAAAGAGGAGGGGGTCAATCTCTTCTCCAAAGCGCCTGAAGGCAGGACAAGAAGCAACGGGTGGAAACTAATCAAGGAGAGAAGCAACCTAGAACAGTGGTGGCGAACCTATGGCACGGGTGCCAGAGGCGGCACTCAGAGACCTCTCTGTGGGCACGCGCGCCCTCACTGGGTTTTATAAAACCTTTTCGCTTTAGGCCTCTGCTGCCATGTACAAAAAAAAAAAAGGTTCAATCAATCAGTCAATTTCAACTTCTTGCGGGGGAAAAAAAGATCTTGCAAAGTTGGAATTGATTGATTGAACTTTTTAGTCCCACCCAGTCTGCCGTTACCACCATAGCCACGCCCACCCAATGGGCCACACCCACCCGGCACTCGACGATGCATAAGTGGGTTTTGGATTGCAGTTTGGGCACTCGGTCTCTAAAAGGTTCGCCATCACTGACCTAGAACTAAGGAGAAACTTCCTGACAGTGAGAACAATTAACCAGTGGAACAACCTGCCTCCAGAAGCAGTGAATGCTCCAACACTGGAAGTTTTTAAGAAGAGACTGGACAGCCATCTGTCTGAAATGGTATAAGGGTTTCCTGCCTGAGCAGGGGGTTGGACTAGATGACCTCCAAGGTCCCTTCCAACTCTTATTAGTCAGTTAAATGCTAAAAGTGGCATCTGAACAACCTGGCATAATAGGGAATTTCTCATTCTTGAAGTCCTTTTGTATGGTGCTTCTCTCTTTTAACCATAGCTGTGAGACAGTTTTGTGTTATGTTTGGCCAAATCCTCTGCGCCAGAAATAGGATGCAAATGGAACACGTAGGTGGGCTTCTCTTGTGCTGTTCACCTATCTTGAATTATAATTCGCACAGTCTCTTGACATTTCTTTGGGACTGGTTGGGTTGGCTCCAGAAAATGAGAAAGCCACAAACGGCTCTCCTTTTGTTCCCAGTATTCTCCAAAGTGGGAAAATTGAGCCTGTGTGAGAGTTTAGCTGCAGCTTGGATAAAAGAGGCATTTTTCTATTGACCGCCGAGCGTAACTCATTCCAATATTGATAGCGGCCGTGAATTTCTTGTAGGCATTGTTGAAGATTACCAGCTGCCCTATTACGATATGGTCCCGAACGATCCCTCGTTCGAGGATATGAGAGAGGTGGTTTGCGGAAAGCACCTGCGCCCGGTGGTGTCAAATCGATGGAATAGCGATGAGGTGAGCACCGTAAATGAAATGAAATCAGATTTTATTTCTCTTGCCTTACAAAAAGAATCCAGACCTTCTGGCTGGCGTCCGATTGGGATCACGGGATCCACCCGGACTCCGAGTTTAGAATATGCACAAAAAAAAGGTTTTCTTTCAATTTAGGAACAAAACAAAACAACGCTATCGTTCTGTTGTGAGAAATTGCTTTGCTGAACAATTAATGCGGCTTCAAAGAGCTTTGGATATAATCATATCCAAAGGACACTTTTAAAGTTGGATACTTTGTTAATATTTTTACACAATAGATTATTCCTACACGTAAAGCCCTGTTTTCTCTTAAAATACTAAGAGTAGACATTTAAAATGTTTTTATTTCCTAAAATCTGGTTTCTCAGCTTACATATACAGACCCAATTACTAGACTCTCTTTTGAAAAGATACCTTCTTTAATTAGTTTTTGTGTGTACTTTGCCTCTTTGTCTCATTATTGCCTCTGTTTTTTATTTATCCTTTAATCCAAAGTAAAGGATTTACTACAGTACTTTCATCTTTTATTTTGTTTAAATTTTTTTAATTAATTTTTTAATATTACATTTGCACATTTGAAAAGCAACGTGGCAGCTGAGTACAATAATTCCATTACATTTAAATATCATCAATACAGATCTCGAAAGTATTACGACAAATGATTCCCTCTCTTTCCCCCTTAATATATACCAGTGATGGCGAACCTTTTAGAGACCGATTGCCCAAACTGCAACCCAAAACCCACTTATGCATCGTCGGGTGCCGGGTGGGCGTGGCCCATTGGCTGGGCGTGGCTGCGGTGGTAACGGCAGACTGGGTGGGACTAAAAAGTTCAATCAATCAATTCCAACTTTGCAAGATCTTTTTTTTTCCCACGAGAAATTGAAATTGACTGATTAATTGAACCTTTTTTTTTTTTTTTGCACACGTTGGCGGAGGCCTAAAGCGAAAAGGTTTTATAAAACCCAGCTGAAGGCCTAGGACTGGGGCGACGGTGCGCGTGCCCACAGAAAGGGCTCTGAGTGCCACCTCTGGCACCCGTGCCATAGGTTCGCCACCACTGATATATACTGTCTCCTATTCAAACCAACATGATTCTTACTCTATCAATCAAACAGAAAATAACTTTCTAGCATTCATCAGTAATCTTCAGTTTATACATACCTTAATTAATTTAACATTCCATCTTTTAGACCGTCAATGACCTAATAACATTTTTCTTAATTTTAATTTTAAAATAAAAAAAGTACTTTCATCTTTTAATTTATGCCACGTTCCCCTATCACCGGTGTTCCGGCATTCCTTTTTTTTTTCTCATTCCTTTCTCCCTCTTTGCTTCCCTCTCATGAAACCCAGGGAAATGGTTATGGGAACTCCTGGTCAATTCATCTCCTTCAGAGGTTTTTCCCGTGCTTGACCTGACGTTATTTTTCTTTGGGTGGCCCGTTTTAAATCGGGCGTAACAGGGCGAGCGTACGTTGGCACAGCGTTGGTGAATGTTATTTCAGCGTTATTCGTTTCTATGAGATTCTCTTTTCTGTTCTCGTTCCAGTGTTTAAGAGCAATATTGAAATTAATGTGCGAATGCTGGGCCCACAACCCAGCCTCTAGACTGACCGCCTTGAGGATTAAGAAAACGCTTGGCAAGATGGTGGAATCGCAAGACGTCAAAATTTGACACAGACACGTCACGTCGCAGGAGAGTGAATTTGGGACTCTTAAGAGCTGCTCACTCGACCCAGTGCAGGTGTGATGGGAGCAGGAGAGGACCCCTGACTTTCAGCCCACACTTCCTCGCTAATTCTACAGGCTGCTAATAAATAATTAAATTTTAACAGGACGTGGGACCCGCGCACACAATACGATAAAACACGCGTGGGTGGCCTTGTGTTTTTTATTATTATTATAATTATTATTTTGAGCTGCATTACGATTTTCATCACGGTTTTAAATCCCCAGCGGTTTCTTGAGTGCTGAATTGGATATTCAGACCGATCGCGCTTTCTGTGAAAGCCTTAAGTTAAGTGAACGCAACGGCAACAAAACAAAACAAAAAAAAATCAAGCTTTTTGTCTCCTACCTGATGTGATCTAACCAGGACTTGACAGAATAGCCTGTGTTGTGTAGTCTGGGACACTTTTAAGTCATCGGACCGTTCCTTAAAGTCTTCTACAATGTTGTGCCAGGACTTTTCTCCCGCGTTTGGAGGAATTCAGAAGCCATTCGGTTTTGTTCAAAGCTACCGTTTTCTTTTTTTCCCCGCAAGGCCTTGTCTTAAAACACGACATCGGTTCGAGATGCGAAGAAGAGTTACTTCTCACCTTCCTTTTGGGCTGCATCAAGGATGACCCAAAAATCGAACAGCCCTTGTAAATTTGTGCCGCTTCTTTCAAGTTTCACGGCAAAGATCGAAATCAATGCCCAGAGCTATCCCTGAAGACCGAGTCCGCCACATTGAACCGCAGAATCACTTTGATAATTTAAGTGCCTGTGATCTTGTACTGTAAACCATGCCCTAGCTGGGGTTTTGTTTTTTTTGTTTATTTTATTTTTTTTGGAAAAGGGAAATTATTTATGCAGTACGCAGTGTGCTCTTTATTTCTTGCTCTTTGTATGTGTTTTAAACGTGCCATGCTAGAGATCTGAAAAATAATTTGAAAAGTCGTCAGGTTCCATTAGAAACACACCTGCTGACGGTGACGTGTTGGAATAGTGTGTTGGAATAGATGCACGGATATTACCCAGAAGCGTTTAGATTTTCCTTGGAGAAGCATCCAGTAGAAAATTTAATGCAGGGGTGTTCAACCTGAGCAACTTTTTAAGATTTGTTGACTTCAACTCCCAGAATTGAAGTCCATGGGACTTAAAAATCGCCATGGTTGGATACCCCTGTTTTTTATGCAATTTGAGTGTGAATTCAAACGACAATGGCATGTGAGGGGTTTTGGGTCAGGCAATACATAGCAGTATTTGTTTAATTTATAACTCGGTGTACAAATTTTATTTAACATTTCTTTAAGTCATTTGCTCACCCAGCAATGCCTTTAAGTATTAGTGCATATTCCTCCAAACGGATAATAGGTACATAAGCTATGGATTAATTTATTGGGAAGGTAGCAAACGGCGGACCGCATTTTGCCATTGGTCCTTAGCGAAAGACACGTTCTTCTGTCCGTCGCTAAGCAGGTAATGTAAGGCTCTGAAACTTACCTCACGTCTCGTTTTGCACAAGCAGTTGAAGATTACTTGGGATAAACCAAATTATCCATGTAGACCAGCTGTTTTCGCTCTTCGTGCTGTCCAAGCTTTCTCTCTACTTTCCATACCACTATGGCCATTCAGGAGCGCTCGTTCGCCAAGGTGCCACACCATTGTGGCTCACAACCCAATGACATTCTAGAGGTCCACCCAGCCAACTTTTGGATTTTTCTCTTAATTTTGGAGCAACCTCTGTAGCGGTGAGCAACTGCGGTCTTCTTGTAGTGATCTTTCGAAGGGATCTCGGCGTTCTTGAGAATACAGATAGGAAACTCTAGTCTAGCCAAATTCCTTTCCACTAAAATTCCACTTAAGCAAGGATTTGTTTGCAAAAAAATATCATGGATCTTGGAAATGTTGGTGAGGAGTATGTCAGTTTATTGGGCCAATGTATTTCTGCTTTTAAGTGCCATGTAGGATGGGTAACGTTTAGTAGCGTTTTAAGTGCTGATCATTAATATTTTGCATTTTATAAAGCTTTAGAATAGAAAACAATCCAGTTGATGTCATACTGAGTCAGAGCCATTACTCTTTGGATCCGATAGGCCTCCCAATTTGTTGTTATATCTAAGAATTGTTAAGTATCCTTTTCTTAACATGCCTTAGTATAGATCAGCTTTTCTGGCCTGGCGATCGCCAATAGGTTAGGGAGTACAGTTACACCATAGGTGTGTAACACAGTGAGTTCCCTTCATTTCAAAATCGCCCACATTGGCGTAATCCAAGCAACTTACTCCTGTACGAAAAGCACCGGTTTTTTCCCCTCTCTCTGCAATTTAGCGATAGGTGAATAATTCCCAGAATAATTCCTGAGATTAATTTAGTTGGTTTGATCTGTTCCAGAAAGTGACGTCCTTTACTCTACTATTAACTCTTTACTTTACTCTTAACCTTGCTCCTTTAGCTAGCTTGTGTTGCTCAGTTGTTGCAATCAGTCACAGTACACGGCCGTAAATTTCAACCTATGTTTGTCTGGAACCTGTCTCGCTGCCTTGATTAACTGAAAAAGAAACATAGCTTCTTCTTAATGTTCCCCTGTTAGTCATTTAGTATGTCATTCAGTAGGTCTCTCCTAGCGCCTTAAGTTTATTGATACATCTTCCAACCCTTGTTGCCTTTTTTTGAAGTGCACATTTATCACAGGTCACTTGGTGGGCCTGAGCAAAACGATGATCAGATGCCATTTGTTGAACTTGCGACTCCGATCTATTGCCTAATTGCAGTGATTTGGTTACCAGAAGCAGGGTGAACAACTGTGATTTAACCCACGTTGCTATGCAATTTCCTCGTGTCTCCACAGTTGATGGTGGTTCTAAGACGATGGATAATACAGAATCTCTCGCTTTTGTGTGCGCACAAGAGACTGGACGCTCCAGGTCTCCCATTCTCCTGTGGGACACAACTCTTCTTGGGACACGCTAGGTCTAACACAGGCGGCCAAGCTGGGCTACACCAAATTCTGCTATGTGCTTTTTTCTGCCCCCATTGGATATGAATGGGGGATGTCTGTAGTAAGGGAAGGAGTTAGAGCAGTGGTTCTCAACCTTTTTAATGCCGCGACCCCAACCGGTTGTAAGTCGAGGACTAAACCGGTCGTAAGTCGAGGACTAAAACGGTTGTAAGTCGAGGACTACCCAACCGGTCGTAAGTCGAGGATTTTCCCTGCCCGGGAGCGCCGCACATGCGTGGTTCCGCCCCCTGCGCCGGCCGAGGCGTAGCTGGCAATAGGCAGAGACGGAGCAGGCCGACCACCAGCTGGCCCAGCCCAAGGGAGGTAAGGCACCCGCCGGAAAAGGGGGAAAAAATGGCGGACAAAAAAAATGGCGGACAGCCTTGCTTGCCGACCCCCGTGAAATGGTCGATCGACCCCAAATGGGGTCCCGACCCACAGGTTGAGAACCACTGAGTTAGAGGCATTTCAGCTGCAAATGCAAGCAACTAAAGAAATGGGATATTCGTTATAGCAAGAGTGGGGAAATTCTGGAAGTTGAAGGCCACGAATCTTAAAAGTTGCCAAGGTTGGAGACCCCTGGTTTAACCTTATGGCCCTTCTTACTAACAGCCTTATTTTTACAATCCTCCCCAATCTGGAGAGTTTTTTGTTAGTGGTACATTGTCCTTTTCAATGCAGTTGCCATCAGGGAGCACGTACCTCTTACTCAAACATGCTTTGTAATGTCTTCTGTTATGTGCCTGCACAGGTATGCCTTTGAACTGTGCTTTCAAGAAAACCTTCCACCTTAACAAGTATTTGTGAATGGAAGCCTTGAGATTAGTATGAAATCATCAGAAAAAAATTTCCCTGATTGTACGGGAAGATTTCCCTACGTTTTGCTCCTTGTTGGGGAATGAACGGTGTTAAAAGCGCCAGACAGATCCAGCTTCTTTATGTGCATTTGGCAGTGAGTAACCATTTGAATAACCCCAGGCAACGTTCACCTTTCTTACTCTAAAATGTCCCTCCTGTTCGTAATCTGCTCAGTGACCCTTCTACTCCTCGAAGTTGTCTATTAACTTTCATTCCATCAAACGAGAGATTAATGACGTAGCAGTAAATGAAAGATTTACATCTGTGGTAGCATAGTACCGCCAAATATCGCCATAATTTCGGAGACAAAACCCCCTTTTCAAAGAGAACGAACCTTACGGGTGCCATTAAAAAAGTCCAGAAGCTTCACATGCCATCAAACATCCGAAAACATCTGCCTGTCCTGAATTCAGGGCTAGTGTCAATCAGCCTTCCAGGTTTCAAGAAGAATCTTCTGCTTCATGAATCCATCAAGAGTCCTTTTGCTCATCTCAGCAATACCTTTCATTTCCCCTAACTATTTCCTCAACGCTTCTCACTTTCTTGGGTTCCATTTTTTAAGGTCATTTCTCAGCGGATCCAGTTGGTTCTGTTTACACCACCTAAAAGGGTAGAAAAATCCTCTCTAGCTCTCACCAACACTGGGATTGTTGCAGTCAGGGAAAGAACACGCAAAAATCAACTTGCAATAAAGTCAACTGATTTTAAAACGAGAAAGTGCCAAATTCCACTTGGCGTTGCACGGGAGGATTTAAAATTGAGTGGTCTTCGGTGAAGCTGTCTTGGATTCGATCCACATTCTGGTCTGGGGACAGCGGTTAAATATAAAGTTGCCCTTGCCTTATTTTTTTACCAAATTTTCAGTGCTTCAGTCTTCTCACAGTCCATTGTGGGGACAAGGGCTGGTTTATGAGGCAGGCAGATCACCAAATTTTTTTTTAATGGGTGGGTTCTTCAGTTCAAGACTTGTTACTGGTGTAATAAACGTGGAACGAACAATGCTCTTTGTCCAAACTCAAAAGTCATCTCATAGTTTTGCCTTCTGTAAATGACCTTAAAATGCAGTATACGAGTTCACTTCATTTACTCTTTAACAAGCTCTGGCTTATTCCTGCCTTATATAAAAATGTATTATATTGTATACAGAAAGAATCATGTAGCTGACTTTAGAGACCGTGTAAATAAAGAAGAGAGGGTGAAAATAGCAGCTTGATTATATTCCTTTTGTTACAGATGCCAGACATTGTAGAATGTGTTTTTTTTTCCAAATGTACTGGGCGAAATGTTGGTTTTTTTTTTTCCTTTTTCTTTTTGTATCACATCCGTTTTAAAAGGTGCCTTATGTTTACCATGAAATTGCTTTGTTCTGTACACAAGTTTATGTCACTGTATCTTTTTTTTTTTGAAGTAAATAACCTTATTTTAGTAAATGTTAGTAATATATTTGTTCCTGAGCAGTTTTCATATTGGGCGGCCTGCAGAATTCCAGATCTACGGTGATCTCTTTTGCTTTTAAAACTCAGCCTGAGGGGAAAAAAATATGTGCTCAAGTACAAGAAAGCACATCTGCTCAGAAAAACAGCACAGCTGTTTCAGCTAAGTTTAAAAAAGTGGTGAAAATGCACGGAGGAGGGAAATGATGGGTGGGTGGGTGGATGGATGGATGGATGTTTGGATGAATAGGTGGGTGGAAGGACGGGCAGGTGGATGGATGGACGGATGGATGTTTGGATCAATGGTGGATGGATGGATGTTTGGATGAATAGGTGGGTTGATGGGCAGGTGGACGGACAGATGGATGTTTGGATGAATGAGTGGGTGGGTGGATGTTTGCATTAATAGGTGGGTGGATGGACAGACGGATGGATGTTTGGATGAATAGATGGGTGGAAAGAAGGCAGGTGGATGGATGTTTGGATGAATGGGTGGGTGGATGGATGTTTGCATGAATAGGTGGGTTGATGGACAGATGGATGGATGGGCAAGTGTATGGGTGGATGGATGGATGTTTGGAAGAATAGATGGGTGGCTGGACAGATGGATAGGCTGGTGGATGGACGGACAGATGGATGTTTGGATGAATAGGTGGGTGGAAGGATGGGTGGATGGATGTTTGGATGAATAGGTGGGTTGTTGGACAGATGGATGGACGGGCAGGTGGATGGGTGGACGGCAGATGGATGTTTGGAAGAATAGGTGGGTGGATGGATGAGTGGGTGATGGGTGGGTGGATGTTTGAATAGGGTGGATGGATGGATGGACGGACGGATGTTTGGATGAATAAGTGGGTGGATGAACGGACGGATGATCTGAGGACAGCTGCCACAGTTGGTGTTCCCAAAATCCATTTACCAAAAGAGTGGAGGCTGCAAGCAGGATTTTACCCTGGCAATTTCATTGGAAGCTCATTCCCTGATCTAATTGGCCATTTTCTCTTTTTTACCCCCTTCAGTCTTATTTATCCCCCTTTTTACCAAAAAGAATTTTACATTTGCGCCCAATTTCTTTTGGGATCCTTATAAAAACTTGGGAATTTCTAAGAGCCTCGTGTGTGGTCAACGCAAGAATCCATGTTTTGCAGAATTGAGTTTCCAGGTAATACTGAATCTTTTGACAGAGGTGCAGTGTATAAAGAGGCTAACCCCTCCGATGGCGCCATTTGAAACGCGATGTCAAACATGTCAACTTGTTTAAAAGCCACAGTTCCGATGCCACAACTTAACACCAACAAGGTGGGTAAGAATATAACAAAGATACACTGGGATGTTTCAATTTAATACTATTGCGGTAGCTTGGAAGTTGGGGATCTTACCTAATTAACCATAAATGCTAAATTTTCTATCAGCGATTATTGTTGCTATTCTGCAATTGTATCTTGTGCCGTCCTTGGTGCTCTTTAAGTTTAGTTATTTTCTTGCAGACGTTTCATGACCTCATCAGTTACTGATGATGTTACCTAGTTTGTATCATGAAACATCTGTAAGAAAACAAGTTCAGAGCATCAAGGACCTCTCAGACACTAAATCATAGGATTTAAATATGCCAGGCTTACTACAAAAATTAAACATGACGTATTTGGCTGGGTATGATCCTTAAATGTTTGAGTCACAGACACAGTCCTTGCTTTCAATGGGATTTAAACACGAGTGCTATCTACTGTGTGTGGCTAATTTGGAGTTTTCATTTACTCAATTTTATGCAGTGAAAATCATTGAATTTCTTTGTTTTTAGATTGCTAGATATTCATTGCAGCAGAGGGAAATTGGTAAAGAGACAGTAGTTGGATCCTGGTCACGTATTTTACATAGAATGTGCTAAAATTGTGTGCCAGACTCACTCTCAACTGCTCATATTATTTGGTAAATTGCTGTCCATGTTTTTAAATTCAGAATCCCATCTAAGAGTTGTTTAGCCCTGCATCACGCGGTGAAATTAGTACACAGAATAATCTTTGGCATGTATGATAAAAGATTATTCTTCGTTGGTGTAGTAATCACATTTATTAATCAAAATCGGGGAGGACGTTGTACATCATCAAGAAATAGTGCAATAACATTACGAAGGGACACGAGAATAAACTTTTATCCTCATTTTTATGTGTCCCGTTAGTGACTGAACAGATTACACATCTGTGGGGTTACTGATACAGCTTCCAGCCAAACAACGTCATTTGTTTAATAGTTGTAATTCTCAATGGTGGGTTAGCTAGTATATTTGCTATTCTATATAATGCTTCTATGGAACCAATATTCCTATCCAAAAAGGTGTCCCCTGTCTCTGCTGGTGTGCCAGGAGTAGAGAGACTCAATTAATATAAGCTTCCCTTTTTTAAAAAGAAAGATGACTTAATTTTATCAAACATGAAGTTCCTTTTGGGTGAAGTTTATATAGCTACATCTGCGTGCAGATAATCCTCGGCTTCTGACTACAATTGAGCGCAAATTTTCTGCTGTTAAGAGAGACAGTTGTTAAATGAGTTTTGCCCCACTTTATGACCTTGCAATATATGGCTGTGAAAGTTGGACCATAAGGAAGGCTGAGCGCCAAAGAATTGAGGCCTTTGAATTCTGGTGCTGGAGAAGACTCCTGTGAGTCCCCTGGACCGCAAGGTGATCAAACTGGTCGGTCCTAGAGGAGATCAACCCCGACTGCTCTTTAGAAGGCCAGATCCTGAAGTTCAAACTCAAGTACTTTGGCCACCTAATGAGAAGGAAGGACTCCCTGGAGAAGGGCCTAATGCTGGGAAAGATGGAGGGCAAGAGAAGAAGGGGACGACAGAGAATGAGGTGGCTGGATGGAGTCCCTGAAGCAGTAGGCGTGAGCTTAAATGGACTCCAGAAGATGGTAGAGGACAGGAAGGCCTGGAGGAACGTTGTCCATGGGGTCACGATGGGTTGGACACGACTTTGCAACTAACAACAACAACAATGACCTTGCCACACTTATTAAGTGAATTCCCGCAATTGTTAAGTTAGTAACAAGGTTATTAAGTGAATTTGGCTTCTCCATTGACTTTTGCTTGGTCGCAAAAAGGGATCACGTGAATCCATGGCACTGCGACCGTCATAAATATGAGTCAGTTGCCCAGCATCTGAATTTTGATCCCGTGACTACAGGAATACTGCAACGGTTGTAAGTGTGAAAAACCGTCATAAGTCACTTTTTTCCAGTGCCGTTCTAACTTTGAACGGTCACTAAACAACTGTTTTAAGTTGAGGACTTTTAAAAACTTTTAAGTTTTTTTGGCAAGTGCCTTCAAAAACCTCATCCTAATTATCGTCTGCCGTCATCTGAAGGTGTTTGATATAAACACCAACTAGATTCAGTTCTGCATAGCTTCTGTTCTTGGCCAAAGGCAAATTAATTGTACCAAAGGGCTTAACGTATATTTGTGAAAGCCCTGATTTTATCTATCCTGGCTTTTTCTAGCATTACTAGAAATAAATTGAGATCGTGCCCTGAAAAGGAATTATTATTATTATTATTATTATTTTAAAACAAAACTATTTCCATTCATCAGGCGAGTTTGAGCCCACAGTTTTCAGCCCACGAATTTGGGGAATAATCGCTCCAGGTATGTTCAGTTCAGGATGGAAAGAAAATTCTGGCTCAAGAAAGTAAATATATATATTTCTGACAATGGTCATCCTTAAACAACGCTTTTTAAGCTGCGCTCTTTGGGCTGAGTGCCAGTAGCTACCTGCAGATCGTTTGTGAGAATGGGAGAATTGCCTTGGGGTTTCTAATTCTCCAGTATGACTATAGATGGTGCAGGAAGAAACAAGCCACACCCAGTAAACAATGTAGTTTGTTTGGATAATGTGATGCACAAAGTTGGGTTCTCCATGGATGGCTCCTTAGAAGCATTACTCTCTCTTCCGACTTTCAGCCAGGGCCTGCAAATGTGGGTGTGGGAATCAGACTTGAACTTTTATTTATAAAATTTATTTGCCGCCCGTATCGTCTCCAACAACTCTGAGGTGGCTGACAACAGAAAAATGTTGAGGACAACAAATAAAAAAAAAAAGGCACAAGCACCTGTCTCATAGTGTTGTGATTCCGTGCCAGTCTGTAGTTGAGTCTGGGGAATCAGAGGAGGAGGAGGAGGAGGAGGGGCCTGGAGAGCCATCAGAGTCGGAGGGAGGCTCTGATGAGCTGCAGGACTTACAAAGTAATGAAGAGGCTGGTCCTTCCACTCGTGATCAAGCTGAGAGCCAGCTGTGCTGGGAAGCTGAGTCGGACTCAGAGGAAGCACAGCTGGAAGACCTCAGAGACGCTCGTAAACGTAGACAGGTCACACGAGTAGGACAGAGGGAGGCAATGGGGCGACTCCAGGGGAGGAGGAGAAAGCAGTGAGAAGCCATGCTTTGGGGGCTGCGTAACAAAAAGGGAATGTGTGGGCAGGGCTGGTTGCTGGAGGCAACCGTTGGCAAAGAATTTCAGAGTCAAGAGATCATGGTCTGTTTATTTTGCCTGTGAGTTATTTCCTGTTTGACTCGTGCTCCGTTTTGCTTTTGGACAAGGTCTCCATTGGAAAAGTGTTCTGTTGCTTTTGTTTTCTGGGACAATTATCGGGTCTGTAACTCAAATAAAAAGGGTTTATTTTCCAGTCTACTGTTAAAAGAGGGGTTGTCTTTGTGAAGTAACAAGGACGTACGTAGGCTGGGACAGAACACATAGCCTCATGCCCAGTTGAAGAAACAGATTGTCTTCTGCACCTCCACCTCGCTGGAGCTGTGCCTAAGCAGCTACCAAAGGCCTTCTAGAAAGCATTGCTGAGCTTGTGTGGGCAAAACGGGTCCTTGTGTGGGCAAAACGGGTCCTTGTGTGGGCAAAACGGGTCCTTGTGTGGGCAAAACGGGTCATTAAGACATCCTTCACTCACAGGAGGGCTCTTGACACGGCCAAGGTCTTCCTTCTCAGGTTTTCAGTAGCAAGAACCCTGCCATGCTCAATCCAACTGTGTTTTGTCTCACTGCGGCCCCTTGGACCAGCTCAAACCACATCAAGTCTCCCTTCTCCAGTTCCACCAGGGCGAAGAGAGTTGTATAACCACTGCTGGACTTCCTCTTCTTGTTGATTAGAGTAATTCTGTGGCCATTGCTGAAAACTAGTTGTCCCAAGGCGGGTCCTGGGGGGAACTCGGCACTGACCGCCACCATATAAACCCCATTATGAGATGCCTTGAAGTAGCCGTATTCACGAGAGTAACCCCCTCCGTAGTTAAGGTAGGTGCGGTTCAAGACGGAGGGCTCCTCTTTACCTTCGGCATATTGCACGTAAAAAGCCACCGCTGTGCCTGGAGGTAAGAAAAAGGCAAAATTAGGAGATGCAAACAGAATTCCACATAACTATAGCACTTTTGAAGGAACCGTAGACATTCTAGTGATATTCTTCCAGCAACAACAACTATTATTATTATTATTATTATTATTATTATTATTATTACTACTACTACTACTACTACTACTACTACTATTATTATTATTATTATTATTATTATTATTATTATTATTATTATTATTAAGTTGGAAGGGGCCTTGGAGATCATCTAGTCTAACCCCCTGCTCAGGCAGGAAACCCTATACCATTTCGGACAAATGGCTGTCCAGTCTCTTCTTAAAAATTTCCAATGTTGGAGCATTCACCGCTTCTGGAGGCAGGTTGTTCCACTGGTTAATTGTTCTAACTGTCAGGAAGTTTCTCCTTAGTTCTAGGTTGCTTCTCTCCTTGATGAGTTTCCATCTGTTGCTTCTTGTCCTGCCTTCAGGCGCTTTGGAAAATAGCTTGACTCCCTCTTCTTTGGGGCAGCCCCTGAGATACTGGAACACTGCTATCCTGTCCCCCCTCGTCCTTCTCTTCGTTAAACTAGACATACCCAATTCCAGCAACCGTTCCTTATGATCTTTTAGCCTCCAGTCCCCTAATCATCTTTGTTGCTCTTCTCTGTACTCTTTCTAAAGTCTCAGCATCTTTTTTACATTGTGGTGACCAAAACTGGATGAATGAATATTAAGACTTGTAGCAGATGCCAACATTCAAGATACACCCTACTCCCAAATTTTTCTCTGATCCAGATTTGATTCCTAGTTTTCCCCAGTCATCTAAGACTGCCTCCATCTCCCTCTTCTATCCTTGCTACCTCCTCAAATGTATTCTATATCTTAACTTAATGTTGATGTCAACAGCTCCACTGTCACAAGGAGTTGTAACATCTCACCCTACCATCAGTAGGCCCCACAGCTTCATCAACTGGTCAGTCCTAGAGGAGATCAACCCCGACTGCTCTTTAGAAGGCCAGATCCTGAAGTTGAAACTCAAGTACTTTGGCCACCTAATGAGAAGGAAGGACTCACTGGAGAAGAGCCTAATGCTGGGAAAGATGGAGGGCGATAGAAGAAGGGGACGACAGAGAAGGAGGTGTCTGGATGGAGTCACTGAAGCAGGAGGCGTGAGCTTAAATGGACTCCAGAAGATGGTAGAGGACAGGAAGGCCTGGAGGAACGTTGTCCATGGGGTCGCGATGGGTGGGACACGACTTCGCAATTAACAACAACAACAACCACAAAAGGTCCTGCAGTGCCATCTGGGAAGCACTTCAGCTTGGGAAAAAGGAGATGGCCAGAAGATGTCGCTGCTACAAAGCAAATAATTTTCAGCAGAAAGGAAAAATACTTGGGACTCCAGCTTTAATCAAGCCGCTTCCTGAAGATCCCTTTTAACTATTGCCATCTTGTTGATAAGCTCCAACTTTTTCAATAAACCGGGTGGTTATTTTCCTAAGCTTTTTAAAAAAAAACTCTGGGTCATTACCTCTCCATATTTAACACAGAGAGATACTGACAGCTAACCAAGGGCGTAGGGTACATTTTTCGCCCTGGATCTCTGGTACAACATGCTTTTGTGTATAATACGGCTTTTTTTTTCATCCCAGCAGAGCAAAGTGCCTTTGTAGATTATATTCAAAGCCTCGTGTTCTCTTTGTATTTGATTATATAGTACTTCATCGTTCTATTCTACCTCCCCAAACTGACACTAAAAATGTGCATTAGTGGTAAATAGATCCAGGCCCTTGACAAAATTTCCTTTTTTAACTGAATCATTTCCTCAGCATTTCCTTTCTTAGATGCTTGGATTACTTTGGAGAATAATAATAATAATAATAATGATGATGATGATGATGATGATGATGATGATGATGATGATGATGATGATGATGATGATGATGATGATGATAAAGTTGGAAGGGACCTTGGAGGTCTTCTAGTCCAACCCCCTGCTCAGGCAGGAAACCCTATACCATTTCAGACAAATGGCTGTCCAGTCTCTTCTTAAAAACTTCCAGTGTTGGAGCATTCACCGCTTCTGGAGGCAGGTTGTTCCACTAATTAATTGTTCTCACTGTCAGAGAGTTTCTCCTTAGTTCTAGGTTGCTTTTCTCTTTGGTTAGTTTCCATCCGTTGCTTCTTCTCCTTTGGAGAATAGCTTGACTCCTTCTTCTTTGGGGCTACCCCTGAGATATTGGAAGACTGCTATCATGTCCCCCCTCATCCTTCTCTTCATTAAACTAGACATACCCAATTCCAGCGACCGTTCCTTATATCTTTTAGCCTCCAGTCCCCTAATCATCTTTGTTGCTCTTCTCTGTACTCTTTCTAGAGTCTCAACATCTTTTTTACATCGTGGTGACCAAAACTGGATGCCATATTCCAAGTGTGGCCTTACCAAGGCATTGTAAAGTGGTATTAACACTTCACATGATCTTGATTCTATCCCTCTGTCAACATCCTCTTTACAATATGGTGACCAAAACTGTATTCAGTCTTCTAAAGATGGTCTTACTGAGACTTTATAAAGCAATATTAATACTTCACGTGATCTTGATTCTATCCCTCTGTTAAGGCAACCTAGGATTGCTTTGGCTTTTTTGGCTGCTGCCACACACTCCTGACTCATATTTAAGTGATTGTCCACTAAGAACTTCAAGATCTCTCTTGCAGTTACTGCTGTTGAGCCAGGTTTCACCTAATCTGTACCTGAGCATTTGGTTTTTCTTGCCTAAGTGTAAAACCTTACTTTTCTCTACATTGATTTTCCTTTTTGTTACATAAGGCTACTAATCCCAGTCCAGGGCAGGGAGAAGAGATTGGGAAGGAATCTAGCTGAGGAAAGGATAAAACTGTTCATAGGTTGTAAGGACAACATGGACCTTGTAGGATTGTGCCTTCTTCATGTCCACCACCCCTCTCTTAAAATAGTTTTAAATAGCTTTGAATAAAAGACCCCAACACCCATATATTTGCAGGCAGACATCACTATTGTGAACACTGTAAATTCAAAATTTTGTGGCTGACAAAGAGTTAAAGGGAGACTAGTATAGCTGTTTCAATGATGAGAGCTAAAGAGCTTGAAATAGCTATACTAGTCTCCCTTTAACTCTTTGTCATCCACAAAATTTTGAATATATATATATATATATTTATATATATTTATTTGCAGTGGGAACAATGGATAAGAACTTTAGAAACCATGATGAGAAAATTTTAAAAAGTCGGAAGAAACCTACCTTCCTCCAGTGTCTCTGCATTGATCTTGTTTCTTCCATTCAAAGTAGCTTCTCTGTGGCCATGGACCTCTTTCTTGTCCCTCATGTTTTGCTGTTCTTGCTCCTTAAGGTGCTTCCTCGTTTTTCTGCTCATCATCAACTGAAGCTTTGCTACATCCAGGCTTACATTTGAGGCAGCCAGCTCCTTACTATTTCCAAACAATTTCTGAAAGACCGCTAGATGTTCTTCAAAGTTTTTTTGGGCTGACCCAAGATCGTCCTTCACCTCCTTGACTGAAACACTGAGGTTGGCCTTAGTTTGATTGCAGCAGGAATGAATATGATCCCACTGCAATTCAAATTTCTTCATCTCTTTGGTAAGATGTCCAATCTCTCTTTTGAGGGTCATAATATCATGGTACGCTGGATTGTCTAAGGCATCCTCCATGACAGCTTCATGGTTTGGTTCCATATTTTCTATTCTACCATGTTGGGGATTGAGGTCTGTTTGTTTCTCAGTATCAGGATCCTTCAAAGATTTATGATCATGTGGATTATTCTCATGATCTGCCTCCAAAGAGTCTATTCTCTTCTTAAGAGACTCTAGTGTCATACTTTGCTTCTTGAGATAGTCTGACATTAATTTGATGTTCATCTCTGGAAGTTGATCTGTGGATAGAATGATCTCTTCTTCAGACAGGCGTTCCAAAATTTCCTCTCCAAGAAGGATCTCAAGGGCCGTCTCATGTCTCAGTGCATCCCCCAGCAACGAATTGAAAGAACTGTTCAGATACTTGATGTGATCGTACATCTTCTCATCGGCTTTTTCTAGCAGGTCAACCTCCTCAGACAAAACTTCAGAATGGTTTTTTAAGAGAGAGAGTCCATCTTGTAGCTTCCAACTTTGTTCTTGTTGGAAATCCAAAGACTGATGGATAAGCGGGAAAGCAGCAGCGAGATCTTTTAAACGTGCCTCCAGATGCTTTAGATGTTCTCCATGCATCTCAGTGGTGTTCTTTAAGCCTTCCACATCAGTACCGGAAGGCTGGTCTTCACAACAGCATGTCTTCATGGACTTCTGTAGACTCCAGTAGTTTTCTTGAACATCTGCCAGACTATCATTAAGAGCAAAAATCCTCCTTTCTACATCTTCTCTGTATTCATCAATCATGAGACTTCCTTCTATTAATCGTATCCGGAAGTCCTCCAAATCGTGTTTTGAGCTGTCTTTTAACCTTGTGATGGAATCAGTTAGTTCTTCATAGTCTTTTTCAGACTCCTCATAAAGTGTCTTTAGCTCCCGAGCATGTTTTTCCAAGGTCTGATTGAGGCTCTGCACATCAACATCTGCAAACATCTCATTCCGATTGCCCAATTTCCTTGGGAACATTGCAAAATTTCTGTTGAGGACCTCAAGCTCACCCTGAAGCTTATTTTGCTCTTGTCTCAGGTCGGCCAAGCTGTTGTTTAATGCTAATAAAAAAGACTGCTGCAGCTTGTGGTGTCTCTTGAGCTTCAGGTCCGTATCTGCTTTGATCATGGTAAGATT